GGCCGAAAGGGGGGAATGAGTTTTGGGTTAGGAGCGAGTTCCGAGATCCGGATCCTTCTTCGGCCCTGTCCTTTAATCTCGGCCCTCATCTACGGTCGCCGCGTGCTTACACGCTTGCGGCGCGACCAGCGAAGCGGTTTCCACGAGCTTTCCACGGTGGCAGGCTCGTAAATTTCCTGGCACTCTTATTTATCTCGGCCGTGATCGACTCCACGATACATTTTTTCCCAGTTTCTCCCGGCTTTCTCGGCGTACCTGTCTCCCCATTCCGCGCGCGCGTTCTTCACTTCTCGCTGGCCTTGTAAAACGCCCGCTCGTGAGAGATATATAACGGCTCGGGAATTCGGGAACAAAAGGAATCGGACCTTTCGCGGTCGAACGACTGAAAATCGTGTCTCCGTAGAGCATCTAGTGGCCGAGGATTTTCGAGGGATGCTTTAGTGGCTTTGGGCGCTTTCAAATGGAATTAGGTGGTGGACGTTTGATGAAGTGGATCGTGACGTGTTTGCTTAGATCATTCGGGGTTGAAACTTAAATTATAGAAGGGAGACGTATTTTTTGTAATTCATTTATTCTAGTAAACACTTAGTATTCCGTATTCTATATGATAATTGATATTCGGCATTTCTTTTTTTTACATATTCTCGACGACGACGGTGCTCCGTCTGAATTTCTTTGATCCGTTCCTGTTCTCTCGATTAAGCCGAGTAATGGTGGCCCCGCCCGACCCCGATCCGTCGGATTTTATTCCGCGCGAGGCGGAGAAACACACGATTTCCTTCCTCGTCCCATAAATCCGTTCAATTTCCGATCATCTGCGCGCAACCATCACCGAAATTAATGTTCGAAGGGAATTATTTGCAAAGATTTCCAGCGCGCATCGCGCGCGTTGTGTAATTTCGTAATTCGTACATTCGTTCCTACGTTTGCAACGCCCGCGTCCGTGCAACACCAGGCTGCACCCCTTTAATCTGAGCTCCACCGAGGTAGCAATTACCGGAACAAGTAGAACAGAGTCGACTTTTTACCGGCTAATTTATCTCGAACATCATCTCCCCCGACCGACGGAGCGAGGGAGAGGGAACGAGAACATATCTGGCGCGCTGCGCGGCGCAGCTGCACGGTTACATGCCGTTTATAAAGGCGTTAACTAAAATCTCGGGATTTTATTTTTCCGACTGCGCTGCATTGTGTACTCTTCACGCCCTTATCGGCGCATCTCAACCCGTAAAAAGAAAAGGAGGAAAGGAAAAGAGAATTCCGGTTTCCCGAAACCGCTGGAAACGGCGCATTTGATCCTAACCAGTGTTTTGTATTCAACCAGCTACCGATGACTTCATCGGTCCGTGTTACGTTCAAAAGGGATGCCTGACTCTTAACGATTTTTCCGAGTATCCCTTCCCGTTAGAGCCTGAATTAATATTCAGCGAACATGTTTTCTTCCCTTATTATATGGGTTGTGAGATTTACGACTATGTTCTCTATGCGCTTCATACACAGCGTCTAGAAAATGTTTTAGACAAACTCGTTGTTTTTGTTGCAAAAGATATTAGCATGGTGAAGGAATCGGCGGTGGTGATAATTAGCGCGTGCGAACCGGCGCCCGGCGAAGAGCCGAACGTAAAGCATAACTTCAAGATGTTCAAGACTATCATACCCGGCATAGCAAGATTCGCCTGCAAGTCGGTGTTGCTGGTTGTAACGCAGCCGACGGATGTAATGTCTTACATCACTTGGAAACTTTCGGGGTTTCCTTCTAATCGCGTCCTCGGCACAGGGACTTTGCTAGATAGCGCTAGGCTACAAGATTTTATCAGTCGGCGGCTGAATGTCGCCCGAAGCTCCGTTAGTTGTATGACGATTGGGGCTCAAGGAAATATGGCAGGTATTTTATCATGTTCAGAAATGTTTCAATATTTGTTCTTTACATGGCAAACCTTGCGGGACAGAAAATAAAAGTAATCTGAGTTAATGTTTGTATTGGTTGACACTTCAATATTTCACTTAAGTTTTTACCTCTATTTTCTGTTCCACAGCGTTTTCCATGTAAACAGCAAAGAACTGTCGTACCGTTTTGTGAAAAAATAAATAAATACTTTGTTGTTGACGATTGATACATTAAAGTTTTACGTAGCTGTTTAGAAGCGCGTAATATTACAATTTCTGGGAATGGTTTTATTTTCCAGTACCTGTATGGTCGAATGTCCACGTGGGGGGTATGAAGCTCCGTGATATTAACCCCAGAATCGGGGAAGAAGATGACCCCGAAAAATGGTACGAAATTAACGAGGCCATGAAAAACAGGTTTGTGATCTTGTCCCGTGTAACAAGCTTACAGTTTCTACTGCCGTAAGATCTTGCATAACGTCCGGCCAGAAAATATTCAAATTTTATATGAAACGGCATCTTTTATGAATCTTATCTTGGATCAGAGAAAGAATATACTCGTGGAAGTTACAAGATTAATACACAATAAGGAAAATTATCCATATTCTAGTGGCAAGCAACTTGACGAAAAGAAGGGGTTGAACTGTTGGGGCCATGCTCTTTGTACGGCCGAAATCGTCGACGCCATTGTTAGGAACACTAAAGTTGTTCTGCCAGCATCGACGCACATACATGTAAGACTATTTTATCACTACTAACAATAACAACGATCTTATTTAATGACACTGCTGAGAATTCGATTCAACAAAACTTTACTCGAAATATCACAAGACTGCAAAATACTTGAAACATTTCGAACACTTTCAGCACACTTTAACACTCTAACAACTTCAACGCCAAATGCAAAACAATAAATTCATAACCAATGTCCATCAAATAACTCTTTCAAATTTACAATAGCGACACTTGTAAACACGATCCCAATCTCTACTTAAACAAAAAAAAACTCTATCCACAAACTTTCATATCCCAACGAACTTGCAAACGGAAATCCCAGTTGCATTTCATGCTCCACATACGCACGGCGTCCATACTCGTCCACATAAAACACTCGCGAGGAAAACAGCATCCGTCGATGCATCAGCACGGCTAACAATTTCCACACGCCTCTAAGGAAGCGACGTTTGCACGCAGAGCTGCGCCCACGGCACGGACAAGGACGTGTACATGTCGGTGCCCTGTGTGATCGGACGGGAAGGTGTGTATTGCACTGTTAGACAGAAGCTGACCGAACCAGAGAAGTCCGCGGTGCAGACGTGCGCCGACAGTATTCGAGGCGTACTACGGGAATGCGGCATTCTCCAGGACTCGCAAAACGATAGCGAGGAGTGAGCAGCGCGCGATAGAACGACGGGAAGGAGGGAGAGACGGAGAACAGTCCGCGGTGCCGCGGTGTACTACCGGAAATTGCGGTCGGCGAAGACGAAGGGAGAGGAAGCAGCGTTTTAGAAAGGCGTCTTCATCAATAACGAACGCGCACCTGGCGACCGGTTTCTCCGCGCGAGTATTCGATCGGCCGTAATAAATGACACCCCCGGAGCCGACTTCCTAGAAAACTATCGCGAATCACTGTCCATTTCGTGTCATATTATGCGTCGTTCGCATTGTTCGCCCATAGATCTTCGACGTGTGCGATATCGCGCCAACATGGTATCCGTTCCGCGGTAAACGTTGCCCGTATATTTCCCAATTACCGTTCACCGTAATTAGGTCTAATCGCAAGGTTCGATTACTTTATTTAATCTGTTACCGGAGAGCATCACGGAAATTCCCGTAATTGCTGGCTTGTAACCAAATATGCTCGATAATGGTACGGCTCCAGGAAGAGTAGGTGATGGTAAATTGGTGGCAATTTAATATTTCTAGCTTGCCCCGGTGTTAGGGGTAAGCGGATCCCTAAGTGGTCGTAGCGAGGGAGTTTATTGTGCAACCGGAAATTGAAATTTGGCGTGTACGATCGGGTACATCCCACCTGCGCGGATTCGACAGCTGCGCGTCGATTCCGCGTACGTTCGATCGTATTATAGAGTGGCTGATGACCTTTAGTAATAAATTGTGATTCAGTGATCGCATGTAACTTTGCTTGTTCGCGTTGCTACTGTATAGTTCCATCGAAGAAATGTATTTTAATCTGCAGACAACTTCAGTCTTTGACGTTTGTGATGTCACTTTGAGTTTTCGATCTCATGGATGTTAAATCTGCGAAGTAGCATAGAAAATTGAAAACTATCTTCGTGAAATTTTTCCTTCAAATCCATGGGATGCAGATACCCAGCAGCGAGAGTCGGGTTCATTGACGATGTCTGTGGCGAAAAAGAAACTCCACGATACCGCGGGTAACACCGCAAAGTTTTTACTGACGAAACAAACCGAGCATTTTGCGGACAGCCATCGCGTGAAAATCGTAATCGTCGGCAGCGGTTACACCGGCGTTGCTGTCGGGATTGCCGTTCTGTTCAAGGTTCGTTGAAAACGTTGCAATTCTTACTCTAACCTTACTTTCTCCATTCTTCGCGCGAGTCGGCGAAAAAATTTACATTTCAGCAGAAAACATACGAACAGAGATTGTGTTCCGTGAACGGTATAAACATTCTCTTCGTGGGAATCGTTAAAGCTACCACGATTTCTATCTCACGATGATCCTTTAGAAGGAACGCGCGTTTTGAAAAGTAAAGAACGTGACACACGTGTGTCCGAAGAGAATCATCGCCACCTTAGCTCGTATCTCAAAGGATTTCTTCGAGTTCCTGACAAAGGACTAAAAGCGCAAAGAACGGCCCCGGCTTGATTCCGGTCGTATACGCGCCACGTTTGCGGTGAACAAGGGCCGAACGCGGACTGGTTCGGTGTGTTGGATGAAAAAAGCTATTATGCAAATGATTCTCGAAAGACCAGAAGAGGGAATTCGGCTACGGGAACAGGCAAAGAATCGGAACGTAAAAGGAAGAAGAAGATTCGGTGGCCAGGGGGGGCAGAAGTAGAAGAAGAACGTGCTTCTTCTCGCTCGTTATCGGATCGTAACGCGAGCATTTACACGTAGGACGCCCCCGCAGCATCGTCCCAGGACTGATTTATGTTAGTCAGTAAGGAGGAAAGCTGAAATCCATACCCGTCCGCAGGGACACCCTTCTCCTTATCACGTTCGCTCATCCGAGCCTTGTTTTTTCGTGCGTGCGACGGAGCTTCTTTTGCCACGGAAGTAGCAACCCAAACCGAGAGATTTTTGTTAAACGATTCACTCCCCTTTCCTCGTTTATAAAACAAAATCAACCCGAAACATTCTACCTGCTTCAAGCTCGTTAAATATAATTCCATTTCGCAATATTTCCTGATGCAACTAAAATATCGATACAAAGAAAAGAAATTCCATCGTACTTTGATTTCCGTCCGCTTGATTAAGGGAAGGTAAATTGGCGTTAGTATTCGCGGTCTAGTCATTGGAAATGACTAGGTAACTTTAGAAAGCGTAGCAAGCTGTTCCCATCAGCAAAATGGATTAGCTTTCACCACTTGCTAATGTTCTGCACGGTAGAAGCAAAGCGTCCGGAATATTCGAAGAATATCGGTGGCCTATCGGGGAGTCATCGAACTCATTAAAACGAACCTAAAATGTTCTCGTCCGTCGGTGCCAATAAGCGGCGGAATAGATAGTCGAACCGCAACCGGCGGGAGAACGAAATGAGACGGCCGAGGAAGAACAAGGGAAAGGAGAGGTGAGAAGGAAAAGGAAGACGAGGTAGTGAACCGTGCGGTTTGCGCTCCTCGTCCCGAGTTGGCAGATCGCATCAACGAGATGATCGCGGGACACCAGCGTTCCAGTACCATCTCCAAGGGCTCCACTGTCCACCTTGCGGACCTACTACGCCCAGGTTCCTCGGTAGTACTTGCATAAGACGTTCATCTTCTTCTTGTTCTCGTCGTTCCTCGACCCGTTGTAACATGTCATGTCCGTCGGGCCGCATTAAATCGTACAAACCATCTTGCAGGTCGGCACTGACGATGAAGGGTCTTCCGTCCACCGCTTCCTGCTCCAAATCTCGTTTCGAGA